CCTCTTTTTTCTTCTTTTTTGTCATCTGAGTCCATCTATTAATTCCTCCTGGACCTAGCTCGTAATTCTCCTCTTCCTGAAAACTTACCGTGATTTTTAGTTTTTTCATCTCTGATCTTTTCTTTACTCTATAATCTTCACGTTTTAACTTGCCTTCATTGACGAGTTGTGTTTAATGTTCTTTACTCATTTCAGATTTACAAATTTGTGTACACCGGAAGGCAGTGTGTAAATTGGTATGTTTCGAAACTGCTATATAATCTCTCCTTCCATCAGCCTCTATAATTCCTGAAGGTGGCTGGGAGGGGTATCACTAGATATCAAGTGACAGTATCCTTTTTATAAATTGGAGAAGAGGTAATGAAAAAAGGATGAAACTAAATCACATAGCAAATGTGGCTGAAATTAACACCGGAACCTATAATTGCCCATATGCTGTAAATTGAACAACTCGTTGCTAGGGAATGGAGTGCACAATAGAAAATACGTATTTTATTGACCCATTTTTGATGGATTGTGATGTCACACATGAAGCGTTTGCATCCAACTGGTGCTATTTTGTTTAGCTCAAAAGAGTCTGAAGGGTATCTCAGAAAGAGAGCTAGACTAAGCTGAAAGTAATGTAACATTCATTGTGTATCAGCTATACCTTGATTTGAGAGAGCGGGGGGGGACACTAGACTGAAGAGAGAGGCTTTGGGTTTGAATCCCAGGTCTGTTATGTATCAGTGGGCAAAGTCAGCTCTGAGTTTTAGTGTTACTCGGGAAAGGAAGGCCTAGATAATTTCTAGATTCCTTCCAACATTAAGATGCTAGAAGTGATTCTGTGGTCCCAGAGCTGAATATTTCATGTATTCAGAGATAGGAAGGGTAGAGGCAGACAAGAAAGATTAATACTGTTTAAGATGGATAGAATTTAGAGAAATGATTTTTTTTCTGGAATATAGACCCAAAGATAACATTGAACATGAAAAATTGTTATATAGCTAACTATTATTTGTCAAGTTCAGAGAAAGTCTGGATAATATTTTTGCTAAAGGATTATCCAAGCAGGTCTAATAATTGAGAAGGTACTTAAAGACCTTGGCATACCTTATAGTCATTATTCATGTGGTATATCAGTCAATATGAATGCCCAGGATTAGAAATACCAGGAAGCTACTTTTGGGGAAGACCATGAATTCCTGAGAACATTTCATTGAGTAATCTGCCAGTTATTGATAAAGAGAGAGAATAGGAATGTGCAAGAGTATAATCTCTGTCCAGAATGGTGGCTAAAAAGACTTTTAGTTGGCCCACTGTGATAGAAACAGATTAATACTATTTTCTTAAAAATTTGTACAAAACACGGGGTGCCCGGCTGGCTCAGTCAGGTGAGCATTTGACTCTTGATTTTGGCTGAGATCATGATGTCAGGTCATGGGATCGAGCCCTGCATTGAACTCCTTGCTCAGCGGGAACTCTGCTTAGGATTCTCTCTCTCCTTCTCCCTTTGCCCCTAACCTCACTCATGAACTCGCTCACTCTCTCAAATAAATAAATAAATCTTTTTAAAAATTTTGCACAAAGCATTATTGAAGAAGAGAGGAGGCCAGTTGTTAAATCCACAGAAAGTAACAGTACCTATGTCTAAGAGAGTTTGAAGAATACCTTGAGCAAATAGAGAAATGATAAACAGGTAAGATACAACTGAAATGCAGTTGGAAGCTGCTCAGATAGACTTGAGAGTTTTGAGGATGAGTTACTAGCATTTGTACTGAATGCATCGAAAGATGTCCATTTCCTCCTTTCTTCTTCCCTGTGCTTACCTTTCCCTGTTCAAGGTATTGCTTCTCCCAAGTTCATCTGTTGGGGTGGGTGTAGATATTCTTGCTCTGAGAAGAGGCCCAGATGTATATATGACAGGTGGTTCTTTTTCTCTCTGGGGGATGCTCACACAGAACATCACCTATTTGGACAATCAATCCATTTATACCCCTCCTCCACAAGCAATCCTAACACTCCATATGATGGAATACCATTCAGTGACTTTCAAAGAATAGGGGGGAAATTGGCTATTAATTCACAGAACCACCTGGATTGACCTTAAATGCATTATAATAAATGAAAGAAGCCAGACCAAAAGGCTCCAGACTGTTTGATTCCCTTCATACGATATTCAGGAAAGGCAGAACTGTAGGGATGAAAAACAGATCAGCAGTATGCCAAAGGTTTGGGGAGGAGGTGGTGTCTGACTGGGGGGAAGTTCAGGAGATTTTGAAGGGGAAGGAGATTTTGACCCCTGTAATGGTGAATACATGATGCTTCACATTTGTCAATACCCATAGAACTTTCCAGCACAAAGAGTAATTTTTTTAGCCAACCAGGAAATCAAGAGGATCCTAGGAGGGAATACAAACTGTGGCAGAAGAATGTAACTGTTATACTTGTTTGATATAATGTCATTGAAGGGGGTGTTACCTAAGTAGCTTTGGAGAACAGGGCTTTCTTTGAATGGAAACTTTAAGCCCAGTGTCCAAAAAAACCATACTGAACACAGCACTTTAGCTGGCAACGGTGTTTCCCATTGTGGTGTGGGGTAATGATTCTGAGACTGCTATATCGGTATATTGGGATTGAATAACCAAAAGAAGGGCAGCTGAAGATCCAGGTTTTTCACCAACAAATATGAGGGAAAGCTAGAATGAACCATGTGGTACTCTAGATGAGATTCAGAGACAACAGTATGAATTCATGTTTAGCTTAATACAGTTATAGATGGACAGATATATTTAGAGATGTGTGTGCATGCCAGGGGAAGTGTGTATCCATGTACTGCCTGGCTCTGTTCACTGAGAGGGCCTGGAAACAGGGTCACCCCAGTAGCAGTGAGCACACCCAAGCATCCAGATACTAGTTTCTGATATCATTATCCAGTACAAGGAACCAGGCCCCTTGGAGAAATTGTTGATTTTAGGGCAAGCACAGGGAACTGACAAGATGAACCTGGAGCATCTTGTAGCACCAAAAAAGTAAGGAAGGGCTCCAAAAATAAGAGGATGGGGGCTTATGAAAGGGACAGAGCAGCCCATCTGAAAGAACTCTCAGTAACTAAAGCTAGAACAATTAGAGCAACAAAACAAAACAAAAGTATATTTTAGGATTATAATCCAAAGTATAAAACAAATATCCATGATTCTATCCATACTGACACAACTAAATGATTGAATAAATAAATAGAATATACAAGTCTCCGGTGCAGAAGAATTCCGCATACGTTATGTAGATACCCCTTCTCAGGGAGGGAGACTGATTTACTTCCAAGGGTATAGTTTGGAAAGCAGGGAAGGAAGGGGAATGTAACTTTATAGTGTGGAAACTGGTGAGCACTCCCTGGGCCAGGTGAGCAAGGCCAACATCAGCAATGATAAGCCATGTTGACAACAGGCACACTGGATATGATGTGATAAAATTGGTACCTTACTCTGTGATCTCCCCACGCCCCATCCAAACCAGTAACCTCAGTTTAACCGAAAAACATCAGACATTCGTAGTTGAGGATATTCTGCAGAGCCCCTGACCACTATTCCTTAAAACTGGCAAGGTCATCCAAAACAAAGAAAGTCTGAGAAACTATCACAGACCAGAGAAGACTAAGGAGACATGACAAATAAGTACGAGATATCCTGGATGGGACCCTGGAACACTAGGGAAAAAGCTAATGAAATTCACACAAACTGTGGAGTTTAGTTAATAGCAGTGTAAGATGTTAACGGTACAGTAAGGGATATATGAGAGCTTTATATGTTCTCTTTGCAACCTCTCTGTTCATTTAAAACCATTCCAGAATTGAAAGTTTATTTAAAAGAAAAGGGTAGACCAAAAGTCTTCATCCCGGACTGATTGGATGGAAAAAACCAAAACCTTCTGCCTTTCATCCTGGAGACTTTGGGAAGCACTGATCTATAAAGTGTATGCTCTAGGACCGCTTTGAGTTTTTCCTCTAGTTTGAAAGCCTCTATTCTACTGAGATGATTTTGAACTCCTTTGCTACTTGCTCAAAGGTATTTTTCTCTTAAAATCCTGGAAGTCTGGAGTCACAACACTTTGTTCTTTGATCTCCACCCCCCATCATATTTTGCGGCAAACCTTGTCATTGTGAAGGCACAGCTGACTGGCTTTGTAAGTGGTTTGTGATTTCTTTCTGTTCCTGGTATTCCAGTGTTATTTAGGTTCATTAAAGGGAACATTTGGGCTTGGCAGTTTGTCACTAAGATTTCAACTACAACCACATCAATTGCTAAGCCATCCGGACGTCCGCGATGATGATACAGAAGTGTGACTGTCGCGGGCATTACTGTTAGATGCTTAATGAGAATATCACATGTAATCACAAATAAAATCTCACAAGTAATCTTCATGCTGTTCCTTACTTACAGTTCAGAAAGTGCCTTCCTCTTCCATAAAATCTGCTAACTTCAGTTTTCATTATGTCTTCCAAAAACGGGTTAAAAAAAAATGTGTGCCCATTTCTGGGTATGTTAATACTCAAGTGACGGTGTTTGCTGGTTTTGCACATAATCTGAATAATGAATATAAAAAATAATATGCTTTTTCTAATGAGTTATAGACTTAAAATTATAATCATCTTATTGTTTGGTGGTTAGGGTTTATTATTTAAGGAGGGGAAGGGGTGGGGAGGAGGTTTCCCCTAAACTGCTAAATAAGACAATGATTGCTTATATAGTCTTCTAAATGGCTTTCTGATGTTTAATTGATCTCTCTATTGAGATAGGTAAAAGAAAATTTGCAACTTAAGATTATTTGCAATTTAAGAATATTTGACTTATTTCACCACTGAAATCAATCGACAATTTTTTTATCATCACTTTTTTTAGGGTATGTTCCTGGGGTCTTTTTTCCTCTGTGGTTTAAATTAGATGGAGTAGGGGCGGGATTCCAACATCAATTTGAAAGCATGAAATGTTTTCTTTAAATGGCATTCCCTTTACTATTCCCAGACAATCGTTAGAGGAAATAAACCGTGCAAGGAAACCTCCATCAACGGCCTGCTGGAGGACTTTGACAACATTTCCGTGACTCGCTCCAACTCCCTAAGGAAGGAAAGCCCGCCTACCCCAGACCAGGGAGCCTCCAGCCACGGTCAAGGCCATCGGGAAGAAAATGGCTTCATCACCTTCTCACAGTATTCCAGCGAATCTGATACCACTGCTGACTACACGACCGAGAAGTATCGAGAAAAAAGTTTCTGTGGCGACGACCTGGATCCATTTTATAAGAGCAGCCATGTGGCCAAGCAAAATGGGCACGTCACAAAGACCAAACACGGGGAGGCCCACTATCCTGAGATGAAGCCTTGGAAATCCGATCTTGCCAGATTTCCCCTTGATTATCATGCACACTTGGACTCACTAAGTAAACCAAGTGAATACAGCGACCTCAAGTGGGAGTACCAGAGAGCCTCAAGCAGTTCCCCTCTAGATTATCCATTCCAATTCACACCTTCTCGAACTGCGGGGACCAGTGGGTGCTCCAAGGAGAGTCTGGTGTTCAGCGAAAGCGAGTGGGGACCCAGCCTGGATGACTATGATAGGAGGCCAAAGTCGTCCTACCTGAATCAGACCAGCCCTCAGCCTACCATGCGGCAGAGGTCCAGGTCAGGCTCGGGGCTCCAGGAACCGATGATGCCCTTCGGAGCAAGTGCATTTAAAACCCACTCCCAAGGACACTCGTACAACTCCTACACCTACCCTCGCTTGTCCGAGCCCACAATGTGCATTCCAAAGGTAACGTTCACTGCCTCCTTACCTCCCGTGTGCATGCACCCCACAAAGGTGGTGCTAGCATGACCTTCTCACATAGTCAGATTCTAATGTGATGTTTTGCCTTTTAAGTGAGAATCCATATTGAAACCCTACCTGATTTCCAGCCACGAGCCCCAAGGGCAGAGGATATGGGGCAAGGCACACTTATTTATTAAAATCAAAGTCTTTGGACATCTCCTACAGGGTTTCTGATTGAAAGGCAAAAAAAAAAAAAATCTTTATTTGAAAGCTATCCTGATATACTACTAATAAATATTGTGTGCTCATATTATACTAATCCTCTGTTAAGAAGTATATGATTGTAAGCCATTAGATGGAGGAATACAGTGGTTCCTGCATTCTGGCAAAGTTTACAAGGATCTGTTGAAAAGGAACAAAAAAGTCAGGATTACATGGTAAGCTTTTAATAAAGTTCATTTTAAAGTTAAATTTTAATATAATAACTATTCTAACAGGCGTGGGGGGATATCTCATTGTGGTTTTGATTTTTCTCTGATGATGAGTCATGTCTAGAACCTTTCCATGTACCTGTTGACCATTTGTATATCATCCCAAGAAAAATGTGTTTTCAGGTTCTTTGTCCATTTTTTGATTGGGTTATTTGGGATTTTTTTGTTTTTGTTTTTGTTTTTTTGCTATTGAGTTGTATGAGTTCCTTATATATTTTTTAACCCCTTAACAGACATGAGGTTTGCAGATATTTTCTCCCATCCCATCAGTGACTTTTAATTTTGCTGATTTTGCCCTTCGCTGTGCAGAAGCTTTTTATTTCAATGTAGTCCCACTTGTTTACTTTTGCTATTGTTTCCTTTTGGTGTCGAAGATGAAAAATCATTGCCAGCACCAATGCCAAGGAACTTACCTCCTATTTTTCTTCTAGGAATTGTATGGTTTCAGGGCTTACATTCAAGTCTTCAATGCATTTTGAGTTAATTTTTGTATGTGGTGTAAGACAGGGGTCCAGTTTCATTCTTTTACATGTGCCTGTCCAATTTTCACAGCACCATATATCGAAAAGACTGTCCTTTCTGCATTTGTATATTCATGGCTCCTTTGTCAAAAATTGATTGACTATGTATATGTAGGTTTATTTCTGGTCTCTAATGTGTTCTATTGATCTCTGAGTCTGCTTTTTTGCCAGTACCACACTATTTTGATCACAATAGCTCTGTAATATAGTTTGGAATTAGGAAGTTTTGTTCTTTATCAGGATTGCTTTGGCTATTTAGGGTCAAATATGATTTTTTGTGTGTGTGATATATTTGAACACTTACGGTAGGAAGCTGTTTGGGTCAAGATCATAGAGAAAGTTCTGTCCAGAGGCAATAATGTTTTAGCCCTGGGGCCATATTTGGCCCATTGACCTGGTGCCTCCACCAAATAGTCATTACCAGCTTCTGAAAAATCAAGATATTTCACTTAGAATCTTCAACTTCTGAGTTTCAGGCTTCTCTTGAAAAAAAAAAAAATGGGATGATCTGATATCCCTGGCCCCACATTTTCACCTAGCATTGGAAATGGAATTGGCTGGAGACAAGGTCTCCCCATTAGAGGGGACCGGCCCTGCCCAACCCTCTTCATTCATTTTTCCCATTAGCCTAATCCCTAGAGGCATTTGGGATTTAATATAACCCTCCAGCAGCCCCTGCACATTCATCTCACGGAAGGAGAAACTAAGGCCAGAAAGTCACGCAGCACACTTAAGGTTTCATAGTTAGTTGGTTGCAAAACAAGGACAAAATTCAGGCCTGATGTTTCTCCTAGTCCACTATTTTTCCCTTTATGTGGGCATACATTGTTTAAGGGGCTCAATTGCATTTGCCAGTAAAACCCAGGAGAAGCCGCAGTGGCCCCCAGAACTCTAGGCTAAGAGTAAGAAGAGGATGGAGGGAAGGATAGATTGCTTCATTCCTAGCTAGATCTCTCTTCCTATAGACTTCCAAATATAAGGCAAAGCAGACCTGCTCTGAAATCTGGTTTTGTTAGACCCAGAAACAATGCAGAAAACTACTGTGGCTCAGAAAAAAAATTAACATACTTACCCTTGGGAACATCTACCAAGAGTTTTTCAGCCCTTATGATCAAGGGCTGCTGTTCCATTTCACTGGAGACCCATGAGAAAATCACAAGCAGGGTTAGTGGGGGGACGGGTAGGAGGTAGGAGGCATGTTAGTAATTAAAATATTTACTTGATTAAAAATATAACAACTCTCTAAAAAGCCTGTGACTTTAGAAATGTACTCAAAAAATCTACCAATCACATTTGGATTTCCTGCTGAGGGAAGAAATAGAGATCACGACTCAGATAATTTGGCTTTGCCTCATGGAAAGTCCTAGAGGCTGGTGGGTAATGTTCCTGTTTCAAATAATAAGAGAAAGCATGAAATTTGTGTGGGTCTCCAGACAGAGCAAAAATAAGGAGGGAGGGATGTGTGTATGTGAAAAAGAGACAAACAGACACCAGTTTTATATTTTGGCCTAACGGAGAAAAAATACTCTTAACCCACAGAAAAAACTCCTCCAGCGTTATCTACCTAATTTTCCTGTTGACATGACAGGAATCAAGGATGTTATAAATCTGTAGGTATGGCATCTATCTCCCTACTTCTGAAAGTTTGGGGCTGGGGCTGGGCAGATAAAACCTTGGGCAACAAATAAAGCCAACCAAAATCTATCCACACCACACAACTCTAAAAACAGCCTGATATGGAGAGAGAACGCTTTCCGCCGTCCCCTGCAGACAAGTCTGCTTTACAGGGAGGGAAACTGGCTAGAGACAGTGTCACTAGGCATCTGATTTTGCTCATTCCTGTGCTCTTCAGGGAGCAGGCAGCCTCCAGCTCGTGTGTGTTGGTGCTGACCCAGCAATCCATGCCTTGCTCTGGCTCCAGCCGCTGGGAAGCCCCCCGTGTAATCACAGTTCTGCCAGCTCAGTAAGCTCTCGCTGTGTGCCAGACACTTGTGTTGCTTTGTTGAGCTTCACAGTCCTGGAAGGCAGGAATTCTTGCCTGCTTTGTGCTTCTGAGGAATCTAGGGGCTCTGAGGGGCTCAGAAACAGTACAGTCAGTCAGCAGAGCTCATAGCTGAGCTGGGATCTGGCTCTCTGGTCTCAAATCCTTCGCCAGATATTGGACACATCCCCAGTGGCCCAGGAATAGCTTCTGCAGGCACCAAGCTTTGCACTTGCCTTCTAACAAGCTCCTTTAAATACCTGCAGCCATGAAGTTCCCTTGGGGTGCATGGTCTTGTCCCACTCAATACCGGGGTTTCTCAGCCTAGATACTGTGGACATGCTGGGCCTAATAGTTCTCTGTTGTGGGGGGCCGTCCTGTGCACTGGAGAATGGTGAGCAGCATCCTTGGCTTCTACTACTAAGTGCCAATAGCGTCCCTTCCTGTAACACCCAAAATATTTCTAGGGCGCCTGGGTGGCTCAGATGGTTAAGCGTGTGCCTTCGGCTCAGGTCATGATCCCAGGGTCCTGGGATCGAGTCCCACATCAGGCTCCCTGCTCCTTGGGAGCCTGCTTCTCCCTCTGCCTCTCTCTCTCTGTCTCTCATGAATAAATAAGTAAAATCTTAAAAAAAAAATTTCCAGACACCATCAAATGACCTGTGGGGCAGCAGGGAGCAAAGTCGGCCCCAGTTGAGAACCACTGTTACAGAGCTAACCATTTGTCAAGTGCTTTGGGGCATTCAAGGGTGTAGGTCCTAGAGATAAACTGCCTGGGTCCTAGAGATAAACTGCCTGGCTTAAAATCCAAAGGGATAAACCACTAATAACTGGGTGAGTAAATTGCTTAGCTCTGTTTCTCCATCTGTAAAATGGGGATAAGTCACCTTGTGTGAGGGTTAACTAAGTTAATAATTACAGTAGCCAAATTATGAATACACATAGTCTCACACGTATGTGGTATGATGTGTATGATGTGAAGCTGAGGGTTACCATGTTCCAGGCACCAAGCTAAGCATTTTGCAAACACTACCCAATTTAGCCGTCATGGCAATTCTGGAAGACTTCGAGATCATCTTTTTACAGTGAAAAAGCTGAGACTCAGAGGCTAACTCTTGATGGACTTCCCAAGGATATGAAGGCAAACAGCTGAGTCAGGATCCAAAATTAGGTCCATCTGATGCCAGAGTCTCTATATTCCAGAACATTCCTATTTCCCCAGAAGAAAACCGAGGAGCAGAAGAACGGGTCTGAGGTCTCAGGGCCCAGATGTGCACGCCGCAGACAGCCCTCACCTTACTGGTGAGGAATGCGTGATGAGTCACAGATGGATTGGGGGCACAAGAGGAATGTACTTGATTCTCTCCATTCTCAGTAGGGTAGCATCCTCCAAGAAGCTCCTTAGCCTCACCCAGACTGTGATTTGTGGGGAAAAAGCTGGGACCATGGGCCAAAAGGAGGCATTAAGAGTAAAGATCCCTGAGACTCTCATACGCACTTACTCTACCTTGAGTGATGGTCTCATTCTGTTTTATGAATGACAGTCCAGATGTTCTCACCCATTACAGAAGACATTAAGAGCACAAGTTCTAGAATCCTGTTCCCTGGATTCACACACTTACTGGCTATATGATCTTGTGTGTGCCTTAGTTCCTTCCTCTGTAAAGTAGAGTGTTTCCATAACTACTTTGACCTTCTTCTACAGATGAAAAAAGACGAAAAAATGTAAAAGAGTTCTCACACGGCAGGGACTCAGTGTTAGCCCCTCTTCCCTGGCATGTTTCTGGTTGGAAAACATGTTACCACGTCTGCTAATGCCAGCCATAGAAACATCCTCCCTGTGCAACCTTTTACATACTCTCAAAATATGGGAACAAGTCCCATGTGACTTTGCCCTCACAGCCATTCTGTGTAGACTAATAAGTTCTGTCGTCCTCACCTCAGAGATCCAGGTCACAGAAGGCCAGAGTGGCTGTGTGACTTCCTCAAAGCCCACCGTGCCTGAGTGAC